CGTTGGGTCTTCGTCATTTAGATGATGAAACTATATTAGTTGTTGATACTCATCTTGGCATTTTTCTCTGTTAATTTTGAAGAAGGTAAGAATTTATTCCTATTATGATTTTGTGTTCTGCTTAAATTCGATCATTACCGTGTCTATGGGCGGTTCCTCAAAGATTCTTAAAATCTTAGCCATTAAAATTATCATATCTCAATTAACCTTTTAAATTATCCAAATATCACTATGAAATTTTAATGACTTTTAAGCAAACTTTGAAAATGAAGTAATTTTTCCATTGGTGAAAATACCCTGCATATGTGAAAGAAGATAAGAATTACGCTTAAATTTAAATATTTAATTAGGAGATTTAGGATTATACATTTACGCTTAAAGTCTGAAGATATAATTAGATGGTTTAGAATTGTTACATTTGCGTATAAAGTCAAATGAAAAGGGAAAGAAAAACTTGGCTCAAGCAGTATAAGATACTAATGGTTGGTGTGAGTTATCTTCTTGTAGATCTTTTAGCTGATTAATTTGATAATTAGCAAAAATGGAAATAAATGCTTCATCTATCTTCTGAAATCCTGTCAAACAAACGAATATTTTATATAATTACGATTTAAGATCAACATGTGGTAATATTAGGAAATCAAACGGAAATAGATGGCAGACCAATGAAATTCTTAAATGATATTGATATCGTAAATCATGATATACTGATATTTACGGATTCTTCTAGTAAATGGGATCGACGTCATGTAATGAATATTCTTTTGGAGGGTATTCCTAATGGAAGGTAATTTTTTATCATGATTAGAATTGATTTAATTAACATTAAACGATAAAAATTCGAGAAGATAGTAAGCTTTATTGAATGATGTAATAAATTGTATATGTTAGAAATATTGACGAGGATTTTCTTTTAACTATTCATCTATTGAAATTAAAGTGACAAATAATTTTTCAATCAAACAAACTCGTAAAAAAATTACAGTCTGCAAATTAAATATAAAATTAAAAGTTAATTAAAGTTAGGAATAGGAAAATGCAAATCAAAAGTTTTGATTGAATTAAAAATTAAATGAATAACTTATTTGTTTTTCAAATAAGTATACAAATGTATCGCTTCTTTTTTTCAAAGGAAAAAAACCAAATAAAAACAATCAATAATTTTTTTTTCCAGAGTTTTACGCCTAACACGATCAACTGGAAAAATTGATGTCATCATGGATAAATTGTATTTTCCGAATGGTATTCAACTATTTCCTGATAAACAATCTTTTCTGGTTGCGGAAACAAGTGCTGCTCGAATTAAAAGGTAAGATTTTCTCTTCTTTTCAATTATAGTTTTAACTAGTGTTTGATTGATAAAAAGTAATGTGGTTAAATGATTAACAACTGAAAGAGTAAAAGTTTTAATATGGTTAAATGATTAACAACTGAAAGAGTAAAAGTTTTAATTATCATTTTTCTTTGTTAAGTCTTTTTTTTCTTTTTTAAATATTGATGATTATTGATGGACTAGTTGGTAGTATTGAAAAAAATGTGGATCCTATACACGGTATGAGAGCATTGTCTTCAAAAATCCAAATGATATATTAATATTTGCAGACACTGGATTGCAGGCCCACGAATGGGTGAAACGGAAATTTTCATTGATAATCTACCCGGTTTACCGGATAATATACGTCCAGGTGGCAATGGAACATTTTGGATTGGTTTCGGAGCTATTCGACATAGTGATCAGTTTTCATTTCTGGATTATCTTGCAGATAAACCATATATACGAAAATGTATTCTTCAGGTAAATAGCTGTAGATTTGATAAGCAAAGATGAAATTTCTTTATATTTTAAATCAAAAAACAGATGAGATGATGAATAAGTCAGTCTTTCTCAAAGAATCCATAAAAAGTTCACCAAATAAAGTCAGTTTATCTTTTATTAGTAATAAAGCGAAATTTCATAAATAGATAACATATATTGTTTATACTATCATCATCATTAGGTAGATTAAAGATAGCCAATAATAAAAGTTTTATTTATAGTTGGTACCAGAGCGACAATGGGAATGGCTACAACCAATGTTTGCTACAAAACATGCGTTAATTTTGCAACTTAATGAAAATGGGCAAATAATAGCTAGCGCACATGATCCAACAGGTCAAGTGATTAGGGAAGTGTCACAAGTGACAGAAACCAATGAACATCTTTATTTAGGCAGTTATCGTGCTCCATTTATTGCTCGCATCCGGAAAGATTTCATTGTTTATTGAAATATACATGAATCATTTCATTATCCGTGTTAAAAGGGAATTCTCAGGATAACATATATATAATATATATGTATCGAGTAAGATCGATTGATCATATCTCGAATATATGAAAATTAATAGCCATATTTATATAATATGATGATGCATAAAGGAAGAAAATCTTCAAATGCATAAAAACATATTGTGGTCGACTGATAATATCAATCTCTTCTATGATAAAACATAATTTGTATTGATTGAAACAAATAGCGATTTTGCTACTTCAACTATTAATTAAGTTATTAATTCATTAAGCATCTTGGTAAGGGAAAAGTTCAATAAATTTCAGTGAACAAAATCTATATTCATTTCAATAAATGATATTTGCCTTATAATTCATTTTGTATTATCCTACATAGCTCATTCATTTCATTTTAATTCTTTTAAATAAATATTTCCAACTTTATTATGAATCTTGCCATTTTCTTTCTTTCTTTCTTTTGTATTGATTGATAACCTATAGAAAATTACATCGAAAAGCAGAAATATCATTCTTTATCTTTTTTCGAAAAAAAAAAAGAGAAGTATGAAACTTTTAGGATGCTAAAAACGTAGATTAGATAGGATCGAAACCATATATTTCCCTTTAGTATGTCATAATTTGTATTCACTTTTCACTTTTTTTTTCTTTTGTTGCAACAAGTAAAGAATGCTAAATTTGAATAGCAAAGTTAAATCTAGTTTATTGATAACGTTGACCATAAAAAGGAGCACTGACCATTGACCATAGTGACCATGTATAGCATTGTTCATCTGTACAGCATTTATTGATATTTTCTTTTTTTATTTTTATTTTTTTTTTTTAGGCTGCTGAATGTTTCCAAGTATCACGTCAAGGTCTTATCACATAATCTTTGTTACTAAGTGCTTACAGAACTCTTTACTGAATTATTTACTGTTAAGGAATGGTATAACAGTTTGATGGCTGTCACCATTAAAGTCTCTTCGAGCAAATAGTAATATGGCCTTTGGCCTGAAGTTGTCCCGTACTGCATTACGAAATATTTTTTACGGCTTTGTTCATGGATAGAATGTAATGATAGAGAAAAGAAAAATATATTATGATAGAGGAAAATCTTTTTAGTTATTTTCGTATTTTTACTGTCAGTGATTGATAAGGTGAACATTTGTTAAAATACTTATAACAACGATCGGAATAACATGTTCACCTCTGATATGGAACCTGCGAAATGTCTCTTGAATGTTAGTGTTGGTGGCAATTACCAGCAGGTACTCTCCTTATTTACTGCAAAAGAGAAGTTGAAAATACATTTATCAAATCCTTCCTTCTTACTTTCCTCTCCAACAAAAAGTAAACTAACAAGTTATATAAAGCAAAAGCAAGAGGATATTCTGAGGAATTTGAAAGAGCTTTATAAATATGTTCACTATTTACCGAAGGAGTTATTTAACTAAGAATCAATAACAAACAATGAGCAACAAGAGGGAGAAAGTAAATTATTTAACTTTTTCTGCAGCCATCAATAAATATCGTATAAAACATCACAATCATTCACAATCTTTGTATCATTATTATTAGTTAAGGAAGGGAAGGAATAACAATTAGCATCGACTGGAAAGATGTGTTTTGAGAATGGTATTGTATACGAAATCCGAATGGAAAAGAATCGCCTTTACCAAAATTTCCAGCACAATCCAGAAACAAGTTTCTTCCGAAATATTATATCCCTGTTTGTTCCTTTTCAAATCACGATGACCAATCTAGCCATCTATACAGATTATTTTTCGTTTCGAAAATGAATCCGAAAAATTTAAGATAAATAATGGAAGGCCTAGGATTTTCTACAACGCTATTATTAATACTCTGGCTATAAAAAATACCTAACATAATATTTCTCACTGTACAATTAAAAACAATGGCAATGTATCTTGAATAAAAGGTCGTACTTTCATGACAAAATGCCAAGAAATCTCAACAAAAGATAATTGATGAAGATATGCTCAGTAGAATACCGCTTTTGTCCGACTCCTTGATTTTGTCTTTCTCGACTTTCGAGACCTTCTGCTACTTGCCCAATCTTCATCATCGTCTGCGGCTGTATAATGTGAATCCTCCTGAAATCAACTGTTGTTTTAGCTTTCCTTTCCATGTTATCCTTTCTATTACTTACACTATTTATAGATTAAAACTTTACCATTGAGAAAATAAATTTCGAAGGGAATTTCCCTTGATATTTAAAAATTATTCAAAAACTTTAAAGAAAAACTTTTTTAAAAATTTAAAAAATTTTTTTATTTAAAAATTTCCCTAGACGACTGATCATAATTCATTATCTGATCAACACTCCGAATTATAAAGCATCCATTGTACTGTTATCCTTCCATAATGATGTAATTTACACAGCGGAAATAAACCTCGAAAGGGAATTAGCAAAGAGTTAACTAGCTCCGCAACTGAGATGAGATCTTAACACGGCAAAGTCTTCTTCATATGCTCGAAATTTTCAAAAATATATATCACTGCTTGGCACTATTTAAAAATTTAACGAAAACAACCAAGAAAAATAATTTTCCATCACTGTATTTACGGATAAGGCTGTTACGCTGAAATGATGTTATCGTTGATAAATTGCTCGCAATAACTTACATCAGAGTGATCTATATCACTATCTCGACCAGAATATTCACGTACACGACCTGTTGAAAGTGAATTCTTTATTGAATTGGTGTAGTTAATTGCTTGGTTTATGCGACGTTTTGCAACTCTGAAAAAAAAAAAATGAATATACAAGTTAAAACAAGCATCCACTTCCAGAAGCTAATATAAAATTTGTTTCTTATAATCACACGTTTTGCTTGTATACTTCAATGCTTATATTATGGAGATATGTTGTACTGAATCAGTGGATAAGTTTTTTAGGGGCGATATAAATAATAAGATATTAGATTCTTCTGATTTAATTGAATACCCATATGAAAATTGTGTTGCATAGACAAGATGAGAGCAAAAATTAATGATGTAAACAATTTAATACGTAGCAACATATTATTCTAGTAAGTAACTTATAAAACTAAATAAATTCTAAATTGAGTATACCACCAAAACAACTTCTCAAGACATGCACATAGTAACTCACCAAACCAAGTAACAAATTGTAAGTTGCACATCACTGAAATAATTTCTCAAGACATGTATATAGTAATTTACCAAACTAAATGACAGATAATTTACAATTAAGATCAAATTTTTTTTGCCGATTTAAACTATCCAAGTCAAAATTTAATTTCTATCGATACCACAAATATAAAGAGCATATATGGAATGATTACTCGATATAATATTAAAATGACAAACAATTTATTATAGTACCACTGTTCCATGCTACAATAACAGCACTGTTTGGTTATTTATAGGTTAGTTATAACTGTAATTAACACATACCGTGAGCTACTTCGTCCCATACCCATGCATTTCTCAAGATGTGGAGCAAAACGACTCGCTGCAATAGGCCGTTTACATTCATCGCATACAACATCCATATTTTTCTGATGCTTCGTTTGTGAAATTAATGTACTACCGAAAATATCGTAGTCACCCACTACGGTAGGTTCATTTTGCATGTCTTAAAAAAAGAAAGGACAGTGCATATCAAAATAATGTATTAATTAAATACATGATGATAAAATGTTGATTAATTATTCCCAGTCATATGGTTGTGTTTATTTACCTTTGATGTTTTATGTATATCTAAAAAGAAAGGAAAAAGACAAAATATAAAATATTTCTCTTTTCAGAAATGTAACTGAAAATGAAGAACAAACGTTTATCTTTCATCCAATAACTTTTTCTTTCACTGCAAATAATCGAAACTAACCAATTGGTGGTGGTAACACAGCATTTGTAATTTTAGCAATTCGATGAACTTTGAAACAAGGCTCCAATAATACTGTTCCTAATAAATACTCAAATACTTGTTCGCTCATTTCTATAAGAATAAACTTCCGTTAATCACAAATAATAGTTGAGGAAAAACAAAGTATCCAATAAATTTTCCAAATTTTTCACATCAATTAAAACTATCCCAAACAAACATTTCTTGTTTTCTATTCCAGTCTTAAAAACGATTACAACAAACTATATATCATGGTTGCAAATACATTTTTTTACACTTCCATTTCATCCTTTCAATAAAATCTTTTCACTTAGTTTTATCAAAATCGATTCAATTGCATACATTTCGGAACTGCTTCTAATATTAACGATCTGATCATTCCGTTTCATTCTGCTACAATCTCTTGAAGACAATTATGTCATTATCAAATTTTATTTACTTAAAAAAAAGGAAAGAAATATCAAAAAATATCAACCATCAAGATCTGCGACATTTCGTACGATTCCTTCGTCACCTTCACCGTCAACCATCGATGTTACTTGTTGGAATCCATAGATATTAATAAATGAATCACGTTTTATGTCGATTAATCAATGTTTTTCAACTGAAATTAAGAAAAATACATGTTCAAACATTTGCATACATCTTAATTATCGATAGCCGAACCAATTTCTCGACCTCGACTCTTTCATTCCAATTATATACCATACAAAAACACATAACAACAGCATCACTGATCATCAATTTCCCATCCTCTCGTCACATAAATCATATGAAACACTTCATCCCATTCCTGGCAACCAAGCATCGTTACGCTACAATAATAGTTTTTGTAGGAATATTATTCCAACTAATTTACAATTACAATTACTATAGCGCTCTTGTCTTTGTGCGTAATTGGCAGGTGAATAATATGCGCCAATCAATATTGCTATTCCTCAGCATTACTATTGCATTGAATGTTGATGGCAATAGTTCATGATCTCATCAAATGCAAAAGTTGCATTAGGAAAAGATGACAATTTCAAAAAAGTGAACACAAAATGCTACTTCTAATACTAATATCATCTGAATTGCAAATTATATAATGGAATCATGATTGGTATGAATAGCTTGAAGAAGAATACAAGTAGAAACTGTTAAATATGAGTGGTATTGAAACATATCCGGATTCTAAGTAATCTGATTGTGTAATCTGGTTGTGATTCTAAATAATCTGATTAAGTAATTTTTCGATATTGTAATGTCCTTTGTTTTTGATCGATTTTGATGTTACAGTCAACTTACAATAAAAATTAACTAGTATGTTGCGTAACTTTGGGCAGTATACTGGAAAGTAATTGTGATGATTAAATCTGTGAACGGATGAATGATATGTGCTGTATTTATTGATAAAATATATCTTGGTGATAAGAAGCTATTAGTGTTACGTAAATTAAGGCATATGTAAGAATCAAGCGACATACAAAAAGAATGACAGTGCTCATCGAATTAGTATGAATGGGATTAATCGTTTGATTAATTCTTTGAATAGTGATTAATGGTACGATAGAATTTGACCATTGATTGGTTTATTTTGTAATCCGTTTTTTTTCTTTGAATTTAACGAAGGAATCTTATATCTTGTCCCTCATAATTTGCCAAGGTTTTCTTTTTTTTTTTTTTTTTGCATACATAATTTAATATGAGTCAAGTATCGCTCCTTGAGATGATCTGTGCAATAATCCTGAAAGATTAGATCAGAAATGTAATCTGATGTTCACTGGAAAGTTCGTCTCACGATGTGATGTTTTTCATCGTGAACCATAATTCAACTTAATTTGGAACCGCGATGTTGAAATTTGACGAAGCTAAAAAGTACATGATATTTTAGAAATCCAAATCATTCAATGTTATAAATGGATGAACTGAATCGCAACCAAAATAAGCAAGCAAGCGTTGCAGATGGAACCGGGTCGCAACCAGAATAACCAAGTCAGCGTTACAGATGGAACTGGATCACAACCAGAATAAGCAAGCCAGCGTTACAGATGGAACTGCATTGCAACCAAAATCAGCCAATACATTGGATAGATCAGGGCTGGATCGAAATCAAAATAATGCGGTGCTAGTGTACAAGTTGGAACTAGAATTAGAAATTGCCATATAACTTACCTAATTGATCATTATCTCACATTATTCAATGAATTCATTTTGTTGCACTGTTTACTAATATATTATTTGCAGTATTATTTATCAGCTCCAGTATGATTCATTCAACATGCATCGTACAATAGT